TATATATATATATATATATATATATAATTTATTACTTGAAAATTACTTAAAAATCAAAAGATGTTTTTATGTTACGTCATGTATATTTATATATGAATGTTGATTCCTGTAATATTTAATAAACGAAATTTTAATGTAAAATTGTATGTCGAAGATAAAAATTGAATTTTTTTCTAGATGCTGTTTCGTATGGGAATTGCAGTAGCACCTGCAAAAGCCGAAGACACCCGTCGTTGCGTATTTTGCAAAAGTCAAGGCGATGCAACAGCCGATGGGCCAGCTCGATTACTCAATTTTGATGTGGATAAGTGGGTACATCTCAATTGTGCATTGTGGTCTAATGTAGTGTATGAGGCACAGAGTGGCGCACTTATGAGATTGGATGAGGTCCTCCAGAACAATCTTGTACAGATTTGCATCATTTGCGAAAAATCCGCTGGCACTGTCAAGTGCTACAAGCCAAGGTGTACTAACTGGTACCACCTGATATGTGCCATTAAAGACGGTTGCGGTTTTTATAAAGATAAGGTAATCAAATCATTTGTAGATTAATAGTATGTTATCGGATTGTTCCGCTTAGATGTATAATTAAAAAATTCATAACAAAGTATTAGTTTTAATAGCAAAAGATGGACGTCTGTGTAAAAAACAGTTTTGAAATTTATAAAACCAGCAACTTTGGGCGCATAGCATATCGCAGAAACTTTTTTACCTCTCTTACATTGTCGGAGAAATTTTAGTATTAAATGTCTAAACGGAACATTAAAGATAAGATAAAAATAAGAACTTAAAAGAGTATTCTCAGTACAAGTTTTAATTTTTTAATTTTCATAAGTATTTTTCTAAATTTTTTATTCTTTCTGATTTTTATTTTCTTTTTCTTATGCAATTTTAAATATAATCAAAATTTTCTTCCAGACTATGGCTTGTCCTCAACACCTTATAAAAGATAAAGATAAAGAACTAACTACCCTTTCTGTTTACCGTCGTGTCTATGTTCAACGTGATGAAAATCGTCAAGTCGCTGCGGTGATGCACCATTCTGACAATAAACATTTACTTCGTGTGGGTTCTCTTATCTTTCTTAGCGTCGGTCAACTACTTCCTCATCAATTGCAAAACTTCCATACGCCCAACTATATTTATCCAGTGGGCTACAAAATCGTGCGTTTCTACTGGAGTATGCGAAGACCTAATAAACGTTGCCGCTATGTTTGCTCGATCCACGATGTCTCTGGTCGTCCGGAATTTCGTGTCCTAGTTCAAGAACCTCTTCAAGAAGATGTTGAACTGAGAGATGCTACTCCGCGAGCAGTTTGGAGCCGAATCTTGGAACCATTGGCAGAATTGAGGAGAAGTACAAACTCTGTACAATTATTCCCGAGATACGTTTCGGGAGAAGATCTGTTTGGTTTGACAGAGCCAGCAGTAGTGCGAGTACTGGAAAGCTTGCCTGGAATTGAGACTTTAACCGATTACAGGTAGGAACTAAATGTTATTTTGGAATTAATTTAGATGAGTGTGATATATCAACATTTTCGTATAGTATGTTTCAACTTTTACTTTTGTTACTAGCTTTTGCAGAACATTAAGTTTCTTAGAAAGTAATAATAATGAATTTGTTTCCAGATTTAAATATGGTCGTAACCCGCTATTGGAGTTGCCTTTAGCCATTAATCCAACAGGAAGTGCACGTACGGAGGCACGTTTACGCAATCAGCTTCCGTGGAAACGACCGCACACGCAACGCACAGGCGGCTTTGCTTCACGTGGAATGCCATTTGGCTTGCCAACCTGTGGTGCTGCCGCAACAATGGGAGGTGGAGTCTCTTCAACATTAGTTGCAGCGGCTGCTGCTGCTGGCGAGGCCGCCTCTTGTCCATATTCGAAACAATTCGTACACTCCAAGAGCTCACAATATAAGAAGATGAAACAAGAATGGCGTAATAATGTTTATCTAGCAAGATCAAAGATTCAAGGTCTAGGATTATACGCAGCGAGGGATCTGGAGAAACACACGATGGTGATCGAGTACATTGGAGAGATCATTAGATCAGAATTAGCGGAAACAAGGGAGAAACAATATGAAGCTAGAGTAAGTATAGAAGCTCCTTTGATTGTATTCTGTTAATTAATTATTCTTACTATAAACTATTCTTCTTATTATAAACTAATTATTCTTTTATACACATACACGCATACACGCACGCACACATGTATACACATATATGTATATTTTTATATATTCATATATTTGTTTATTGAATATAGAATCGTGGTATATATATGTTCCGATTGGATGAGGAACGAGTAATAGATGCGACTTTATGTGGTGGTCTCGCTCGCTACATTAACCATTCCTGCAACCCGAACTGTGTCGCTGAGATCGTTGAAGTTGAGCGCGATTTCAGAATTATCATTTTTGCCAAGCGCCGAATTTCACGTGGCGAAGAGGTAATTATGCGTTTCTGTATATAAGAAAACTAATCTAAGCATTTTGTTTATTTTAATATTATTTCCCCTATTTAAAATTATAAGTCCCTATGAATCCTTTTTATCTTAAATATTGTATTTATTTTTTTATATTGTTACATTATATTTATTTCCTTTTGCAGCTGGCATATGACTACAAATTCGACATCGAAGACGACCAGCACAAGATTGCATGCGCTTGCGGCGCATCCAATTGTCGTAAATGGATGAATTAAACAAATTAAGATGACGATACAGAGAAGAAACAGGAAATGAGAAGTAAAGAAGAAAACTCAATTTCTCCATCCTGCCTATTGTTATCATTGTTGCTATGTTATATAAGGTAGGAAGTTGTATAGAGATAATTTCCTGCGTGGGGAGTAAACGATGAGATATATATATGTATATATATATTTTATATATATGTATATGTATATATATATATATAGACACGCGCGCGCGCGTGTGTATGTTACATATGTGCAAACACACAGCATACACAATAATGATTTATTGATTTGTATCGAGTAAAGGTACCAACGCTGACTGATATTGCGCAATATTAATTAACAACCCAGGATTTACTTCTCTATTATAATAATATTTAACGACCATTAAAATATGATTTGATAGTAGTAGATTATCAAACAACGTAAGAAAATTATATAATATTCCTCTCAATTTGTTAAGAGGATATTCTATATTTTTTTGCAATTATATTATGTAATTAAGAATTATAATATTTAGATTTAAGTTCAAAGAAAAAACTGCTAGAGAACAAATTATATGTGTAAGTATATTATCTACATAAAGAAAGATTTTAAAAACTTGAAAATGAACTTACAAAGAGAGGAATATATATTATACATATTTAAAAAATATGCATCTTTTGTTTTTATAAATTAATTAAATAATTGTAACATATTTTTGGCTTTTTTACTTGGTAAATCGATTGAGAGAATTAATTTGTTTTCATAATAATTTGCTCGAGAGAGAACGAAAGAGAAAGTGAGCGTTAAGATAAATTTTCTTTAGTTTGTAGGAGTGATCCAGGGTTACAAACTAAGGAATAAATAAATCGAAGAAGTTGTGGTGCTAATCAGAGTCGCCATCACATTCCTCCAAAGTGTTGTATAATATTATAGTTATCATAAGAGAAAATATCGAATGCTTGTATATTGTATACGAGATGAGAAAAAAATATTGAAAGATAGGGAAAAGGGAAAATGGGTTGTATGCGATAGAAGATAAAGAGAATTTCAATCTTTGTGCTTTTGGTCCGATGATGATTTGTTGTAATATAAAACGTTTATATAATTATTATTATTATCATCATCATGTATAATTATAATGATATAGACACACGCATACCGTGTGCATCGCACTGTTTCTGTATATAATATATATATATATATACATACATATATACACATATATATATTATACAAAGTAGTTTTATTTTCGAATCACCCAATATATGTATGTAAAGCGCAATGAGAAAATCTGAAGCGATTTGGAAGAATTATATACAATTATTATACCGATTTTATTATGCGACTGATTTTTAATAAAAAAATATTCCCTTTCCATCTTTTTTAATACCCAACTTTTTGTTATATTGCAGGATTAGACTATCCACACAAGAACATCTGTAATACGTTACATTATGTTAAGTATTAATCGTAAACAAAAGTCTAAACGTAACATCAACGCACAAACAAATATAATGTTGAATATTATGTTATGATTTTTTTTGTGCGTTGATGTAAATTTACTGTTATATACAGGCTTTAACTTAAGATTCAGTACTTAACGTAACACGGATGGTCTTGTGCAGAGAGCTTTATTTTCAAATTTAGTATTTAAAAAATTTGTTAAATATATATGCAAAGTAATTATTTATGATTTTTTTATTTTAATATCTACATAATATGATATTTACAGAGGTACATATAGTAATAGTAATGCATAAATATAAAACGCAGTCATTTCGCGAAAGTTCATTATATCAATCGATAAACTTCTTCAAATTATCATAATAGAACATGATAATATTAATAATATTACTAACAAAAATATATTTACAAATATATGTTTACAATGGCAGCAAATCAAGGTATACAAAAAAATCTTATTTCTTTTAATTCATTTCTTAGTTACTTAATGAATAAAATTAAACATGCTATTTAAAATTTTTATATGACGAAATTAAAAAGTGTATGAATATATGTAAATATTAAGTCCTAAATTATGTATATACATACACGTGCGTGTATATGTGTATATATATATACATATATACATACACACACACACATGCAATATCATGGAAGAAACGGAATATTTATTAGAATATATATAAATGCAATTCTTTGGCATCTCTCTTTTTCGAATTCTCTCTCTAACGATTTAAATTTATTATTCATCCGTATACAATTATAAAATACAATCATAACGAATAATTTTGCAACAATGTCAGATGATATACAATACTATCGAATGAGAAAATACTATTATCATCGTTACATCGAAATCAATTTTTGCATATTGGTAATTTCATTTTAATTATTTAATTTTCGATGCATGATGTTTTGTTATAGTGAATTTATATATATATATATATATATATATGTATGTATATATTTCGCGGAAAAAATTTTAGCCTTTTATTTATTATCAAATCAATTAATTTTGCTAGGAAATGAGAAGATTGCCTAATCTTGCAAGCAAAATTTTAGTTATCCTTACTTTCCTTTCTCTAATATATTTTTAGTTATTTTTTTTGTTGCTTTCAAAAATTTCACACAATTAGAAAGAATAAAGATTGCTTATTAGTATTTTTTATTACATGTCATTTTTTGTAGATGTACATTTGTTTTGTAAACTGTATGGAGATATTTACAAACAAACTTTATTAAGTAATAAAAATTTATTTAAATTGACTCAAATTTATTTCTCAAAGAGAATGGTTATAGAAAAACTTGCAATAATTTTACTTTTTACTAACAATTCATTTTACTTCCAAAAGCATGTAATTTTTTCCCTTAATTAACTATAAAATGTAATTATTAAAATATCGTATATTTGTAAAAAAATTTATAAAAGAAGATTTATTTTTAATATTTATAATATAAAAGATTAATAAGATCTTCTTAAATATAATTTTGAATCTTGTATTATTTATAACAGATTGTTATGAGTTATAGGAATAGGTAATTGTTTCATATAATTTATAAATTATATTTGTTATTAACACTAATAAACTATTAAATTTGACTAACACAGCCAACACAATCTTCATTCTTTCCTAAATATCATAATTTTTCAATGACAATTTCAATATTCAATTTCAACAGCAAACTTTTTATATTTGCGCGACAAGGAAGATGTCCTGAGGAACATCCTGAAAGCTGAATGTAACAATCTTGCTGGATCCTGTTTACGTAGCTGCCAGGTCAACTCTGTTGCATGCAACAAATGAATGCGAATTTTATTATAAATAAAAGAATTTTTACCGGAATTGCAGATTAATTATAAAAAATTAATTTCAATTTCGGTAAATAGCTTTGTCAATTAAAAATATTAAAATTGTTATAGAATTATTAATAAGGCGCAACTACTTCTATTTATTATTTTTATTGTTCTATAATTAGATTTTATTATCTTATATATGCTTAAAAAAATATATATAAATATACGAAAAATCTACAATTAGATTAATTATGAATACTTTATGAATATATGTGTTGTGTATATATATATATATATATATATGCATGTATATATAGGGTGTCCCATTTTAAATAATGCATTAAGATTTCTCAAAAACTATGGTAGATACGGAAAAATGTTTTAAACAAAAGTTGTATGGTTCGGAAGGGGACATAAGGTACTATTGATTTGACCTTGGGTCTTAACACCAGCTATTAGATTCTGCCATTAAAAATAGAACGTTCCATTAAAAAAAAATCGATACGACCTTGATCTGATCTTGGCGACGCCACCCAAGGTCAAATCAATGCTACCTTCTTATTTCCTTCTTCGAACCATATAACTTTTATTTAAAACATTTTTCCGTATTTACCATAGCTTTCGAGAAATCTTAATGCATTATTAAAAAATATTTAAAATGGAACATCCTGTATATTGAATATATATATGTATATATATATATATATATATATATATACCCATTAATTTAAAAACTTGAGTATACTAAATATAAAAATAAAATAAATTAATACAATACATATAACCAATCATAATAAAGCTTTGATCTAATGTTGTACATAATAATTAATATTTCTAAGACTATAATGCATGCAAAACTCCATAAAAGCCAACATATAATTATTTTTATATATTATATATATGTATATGTAAAAATATTTCTTCACATTTAAATAATTGTTATATATTTATATAATTATCATATTTTAATATATAATTGTTTAAATATAAAAGTGATATTTTCATGCGCTATAGAAAATAATCGGGTCTTTTTCGTATAGAAATGCAAATAAGATTTGAAGATCGTTGATCTTTATTATTATATTAGGTAGTTTATAATAAGTGTTTATTACGATATATATCCACATATGTTACAGTTTTATGTACAAGGAGTTCGCTATAAGCTAGAAAATGCAAGTAATTTTCTTTAAAAGAATGTATGGATGAGAACCCCCAAGAGTCAGATAAAAAGGAAACATTTAAAGTAATAGAATGAAAAATATATAAAGAACAAAAGAGAAAAATTATTAAATATGAAAACAATTTTTATAAAGTTATTTAATTTAAAAACTTAAGAAAACTTCAACAAAAGTTTCAACTAAAAAAGAAACAATAAGTATAAAAAAGTAAACTAAATTATTATATAAAAAAAAATTTCTTTTTTTAATTACCAATTAATTTTATAAGTATAGTCTATATACAGTCAGTTTTTGCGCATAACATATATCGGCTAAAACATTTATATGTTTATTTTTCTTAAATAATTATTTATATACTAATTTTTATTATATTCATGTTTTTCTCATTTATAAATATATATGTACATATAAATATAAATGCACATATGTACATACATATATATATATACATATATGTATGTATATAGGTATAAATAAATATATACATGTATACATATATATGTTTTGTACGATAGTATATATAAATTACTATAATTTATAGAAATTAAAAAATCACTATAATATTTTATTTTTATCTATTTTCTTAACCGTTATTAACTTTGTTTATTAGTCTAAAATTATTACAATAAA